GAGAGACGCAGTTGAAGACCGGCACTTTTGACGCGTGGGCGGCTATCTGGCTAACTACTGAGTTTGAACGGCACGATACAGTAGTCTGTAACCACGGAGGCCCTGGATTGAGAGAACGCTTTCAGCACAAGATCTGAGTTTGAAGTTTCGGTACGATGGATACACTCACCGGAGTAGTCCGCGCGCACAAGTATTGGGAAATCGACACGAGAGCGTGTCCCACCACCAATCGCGGGTTGGCACGTAGGCGAGATTAGAAGATCTCAACGCGCCGCATCGTAATTTGAACTCAACGAACTCCAAACTCTGAAATTTGGGCTGAGTAAACAGCTCCTCAATCCCGGCACACACTCGGTCGTCTGCGCTCATAAATGGGTCCATAAAATATTGTGGCCTGTGAATGTCGAAGACGATCATGACTTTGGTGAGAGATGCAGGTGGAAGCGTAAACAGAATACTGAGTAGAATACGCCATGGCACTGCCGGCGGTCCCGGATTGCGAAATAGGGTCGAAAATGTGACGGTGAAGGTGTCCAGGTGGTCCAACTCTCCCAAATCGAGTTTGGGGAGCCGACGATCATCGTCGCAAATGTCGACACGAGATACGAGATCAAGCGAGCGAAGAGATGCGCTGGCCGTGCGGACCAACTGCTGCAGGCTGTCACATTCTGAAGGTCTCGATCGATTCCACGAGAGATATCGGATAGTGGGTCCAATCGAGGACCCGACCAGGAAGTCAAGGACATCATCCGCATCGTCTAGATCAACGGATGAGAGAGCAAAACCTTTTGATGGAATTGCTCTCCCGGGGACGTATTTGGGGTTCACAAAGAAAGGCAGACGACAAGTGAGGTGAGCAAGGCAGGGGAAGGAAAACACGAGCCGTGAGAAGACAATTATGGTTGGAAATTGGATAGACTCGAGCGTAAGACGGGTTATACGCGCAAATGTGACGGTAAAGTGAGTGAAGACGTCGACGTGAAGCAAGCCAGGCTTCCACGTCTCTTCTCCAAAGTCGCCATTTCCGATGGTAAGGGCGTCCACATGCGAGTTTGTTCG